CTGGGAGCCTCTCCGGGCTGTCTGCAGGATGGCGGGGGCGGGGTTCTGCCCCCCTCCCGACCCTGCTACTGGCTTTGGCCCTCGGCAGGTCTCCAAATCCATCTCGGCGCCTGTGGCGCCGAGCCCGGTGCCGACCCCCAGCCTGGCCAAGCGGATGAAGAAGAGCAAGCAGCCGCCACAAGTGACCAAGGACCTGGGGCGCTGGAAACCTGCTGACGACCTGCTGCTCATCAACACTGTGCTGCAGGTGACGGGGCGGGGAGGAGGCTCTGGACAGGCCGTGAGGTCCTGCCCCAGATGGGGCAGCGTTTCAGGGGCAAGGGTGGGGCTCGTCCAGGCCCCTCGCTGAGACCAGCCTCTCCCCGTGCTCTGCAGACTAACGACCTGACCTCGGTGCACCTGGGTGTGAAGTTCAGCTGCCGCTTCAACCTGCGGGAGATCCAGGAGCGCTGGTACGCGCTGCTCTACGACCCCGTCATCTCCAAGTGAGTGCCCGCCTGGGCTGCAGCCTTGGTCCCCACCGCTCCGGCCTCAGTTTCCCCCCTGCAGGGAAGCAGGGCAGCCGTGGCAGGGAGTGGGCTTGTGGGTCTGCCCAGGGGCTGGGCCAGCTGACAGTCTGCACCCCCCAGGCTGGCATGCCAGGCCATGCGGCAGCTGCACCCTGAGGCCATCGCTGCCATCCAGAGCAAGCTGCTGTTCAGCAAGGCCGAGGAGCAGCTGCTCAGCAAAGTGGGCTCGGTAAGACCCTCCTGCCCTCCCCAACGCTCCCAGGCTGTGGCAAGAGGGGCTGGAAGCTGGGGGCCTCCTGGCTCTGTCCTTCCGCCCCCTCCTGCTGAGCCATGTCCTGCCCCCCCCAGACCAGCCAGCCCACGCTGGACACCTTCCAGGAGCTGCTGCACAAGCACCCTGAGACCTTCTACCCAGCGCGCACAGCCAAGACACTGCAGGTCCACTGGCAGCTCATGAAGCAGTACTACCTCCTGGCCGACCAGACAGGTAGCGCCTGTGCCCACCTCCTTCCTGCTGCTAGCCCCAGGGCCGTGGGCTCTGCCTGCCTGGGGGCTCCGGACCCTGACCCCCCCATGTACGTTCAGTGCAGCCGCTGCCCAAGGGTGACCAGGTGCTGAACTTCTCGGATGCTGAGGACATGATCGACGACAGCAAGCTGAAGTGAGGGTGGCCGGGTTGTCCCTGCGGCACTGGCTTGGCAGCTTCTGCTGCTCCCCAGGGTCCCTGTGGGATTGAGCTGGGGGGCTTTGTGGGGGTCTTTAGGGGCAGCGCAAGCTGGGCCGGGGGGGCACTGAGTGCAGCTTCTCTCTGCAGGGACTTGCAAGATGAGGTGCTGGAGCATGGTGAGTCATGGGGGGTGGGTGTGAGGAACCCCCATCCCCTGCCTTTGGTGCCAAGAGACAGGGTGGGGTGGGGTGGGAGGGGGGCTGCCCCGAGCGCCCCCCATGTCTCCCCCCACAGAGCTGACCGTGGCCGACCGGCGCCAGAAGCGGGAGATCCGGCAGCTGGAGCAGGAGCTGCACAAGTGGCTGGTGCTGGTGGACAGCATCACAGGTGAGTGCTGTGGCCTCCCGCCTCCCACCTCCAGCACCAGGTGGGCTGCTCGAGGCTGGGGTATTATGATCCCAGCACTCGTTCCTGCCCAGGGCAGAGGGTCGGACTTGATGATCTGTTCAGGTCCCTTCCTACCATTGAAACTATGAGTTGCGTGCGACTTCCTCCCCACGTACTTCCAGGGATTGCGGGGGAGTCTAAGCTTCATCCTCTCCCCCCAGGCATGAGCTCCCCTGACTTTGACAGCCAGACGCTGGCCGTGCTACGGGGCCGCATGGTGCGCTATCTCATGCGCTCACGGGAGGTGAGGCCGCCCGGCTCCATTTGGGGGCTGCTGGGAGGGGCAGAAGGTGCCCTGAAGCTTGGTGGGGTGGGATCCCTCCCAGTGGGAGCTGGCGCAGTTCTCAGGCCCGGCCCCTTGCAGATCACACTGGGCAGAGCCACCAAGGACAACCAGATCGACGTGGACCTGGCACTGGAGGGACCTGCCTGGAAGATCTCTCGCAAGCAAGGTGTGTTGCAGGGAGGCACACAGGTTGTGCTGTGCCTCGGAGCTGGGGGTGTCTGTGCCATGGGTGGCCGGAGGGGGGAGAGGCTCCTGCTCCCCCCCTGCCGTCACCGCAGGCGTCATCAAGCTTAAGAACAACGGGGATTTCTTCATCGCCAACGAGGGCCGGCGCCCCATCTACATCGACGGGCGCCCTGTGCTGGGTGGCAGCAAGTGGAAGCTGAACAACAACTCGGTGGTGGAGGTGAGTGCAGCTGCGGTGCAGGGTCAAGGGGGGGTCCAGGCCCGGGGCAGGATCTGACCTCCCCCTTGACATGTGCCCCCTTTCTCCAGATCGCCAACCTACGTTTCGTCTTTCTCATCAACCAGGATCTGATTGCACTCATCAAGGCCGAGGCTGCCAAGATTACGCAGCAGTGAGGGCTGGGGTGGGGGGTCCTGGCTGTGGCCCATGACTTGTGGCTGCTTCTAATAAAAGATTTGTGCCCCCCAGCACTGGGCTCTCGGTGCTGTTGGGATGGGGGGCTGCCGCAGGTGCCCCTGGCTGCCCCTCCTGCACACAGCAGCTCCTGGTCCCCCTGTCCTGGCACTGAGTGAGAGAGACAGGCTCCAAATGCAGGTTTTTAATTGAAAAATGAAGGGGCAGCCCTGCCCCGCCATGCTATGCCCCCTCCCTCCACCCGTCACCCTTCACACACCTGTGCCTTCCTCACGGCACCAACCTGCACTGCCCCCAGCCAGGCCCTCACCCGCAGGGCCCTGGCACCCCAGCAGCGCCAGCTCCAGCCCGTGCGGGTCCCAGGGCAGTGTTAGGGGTGCAGGACCCGACGTCTCCTCCAGTCTGGGGCTTTGGGGCTCGCGGTCCTCGCAGGGGGCAGGCGCAGGGTGCAGGTTTTCATAGGCTTGGCCCTCAGCCTTGTGCTCTGAGCTCGTCCCCGCTGCCCAGAAGGCGCCAGCGTGCGGCCAGGGCGAGCTGTGGGCAGCAGGGGGGGCCCAGCCCCAGGTTGCTGCGGGCAGAGAGGGGGCCGCGGTGCAGTCCAGGCCATGGCAGGGTGGCAGCTGGTGCGGGCAAAAGGTGGCAGCACCCATGTCTGTGCTCTGTGGGGCTGTGCCGGGGCCAGGTGGTGCCCTCAGGATGAGCTGTACGGCCTGGCGCAGCGACTGGAGCCCCTGGCGCATCTGCACCACCTGCCCCGACAGCTCGGCCACCTGTGCGGGGGAAGGGACGTGTGAGCCTCAGGGCAGCCTCGCGCCGCCCTGGTGCAGCCCCCGGCCCCAGCTCTTACTGCCTGGCGCAACTTCTCCATGGTGCCAGCACTCGGCGCCTCCGGTGGGGGGGCCAACGGGCTGCTGTCTGTGGGGAGGGGGCAGCACAGGTTAGCCCCGGACCCCGCTTCCCACCGCACGCTCCTGCCACCCAGCCCTGGGCAGGGAGCACCCAAGGCGGCCCCAAACTCACCTGTCCCAGGAGAGGGGCTGGTGCAGTCGGGCCCAACGTGGAAGTCAAACGTGGGCTTGTCGGAGCTGCAGGCGTCTTCCTCGATCCCATCCACCACCCTGCAGGGCAAAGTCCTCTCTGTCACCCTGAAGCACCCAGGAGTTGGGGCCCCCAAGCACCCGCCTTTCTCCACACGTGGAACCCAGGAGTCCGGGCCTGTCCCAATCCCCCTGCACCCCTACCTGGGGCTGAGGTCCGGGGGCCCGGTGCAGGACAGGCCGTGCAGCGGCAGGGCCTTAGGGCGCCGGGGCGGGGGGCGCGGGGCCCGGCCCGGGGGGGGCTGGGGGGCTTGGCAGGGGGGTCCGGCTCTGCCTCCTCCAGTGTGGACAGTGGTGTGGGGTCCCCGCTCTGCGAGCTGGTGTCGGCCTGCGAGGGGGGCGAGGGGGTGCAGTCGGTGCCATCCCGTGCCCCCAGCCCCGGGGTGCCCCCCCCGCTCCTGCACACCTCGGGGCCGGCGCCCAGGTCGTAGCTGAGCTCGGCGCGCAGTGTGTGGCGGAAGGTGCGGGCGAAGTCGGGGTCGAGTGCCAGGCTGGCAGCCAGGCCGCGCAGTGCCAGGCACTGCAGGTCGCAGTAGGTCAGGCCCTTCACGTCGGCGTTGGCCTGGCGCACGCGGCCCCGTGCCGGCAGCGCGCAGCCCAGCAGGTCGCCCTTCCCTGCAGCCACGGGCATGTTAACGGGGGGCCAGGACACCCGGGGGCCTGCCTGACTCCATGCCCTGCGGGGGGGGGGTATCCCCCATGCCCAGGTTGGCTGTGCCCCAGCCCCCAAGGATATCTGCCCCTCCCCCTCAGACCAACAGTCGTGCCCCCTACCCCTCTCTCAGGAGCCCTCTCAAACATGCCACCCAACCCTCCAGCCACCAGCCATGGACATCAGTTTCTGCCTTCCCCAATTCCCTGGGCCAGGCGCTCTCCACCCCGCAAATACCCCTGGGACCTGCCCCCGCCAATGCTCATGCTCCCCTCCCCCAGCCAAGAGCCATGCACATCTGCCCCACATCCCCAGGGTTAGGGTCTCTTCCCCCCCTTGTGTAATGCCCCCAGGATCTCCCCCTCAACAATCAACCCCCGCTCATGGCCCACACCTTGGTTCTGCCCCCCTAGTCGTGACCCCCCTGAAGTCCCTGCCCCATTGTGTCATGTGCATGTACGCACGTGTGTGTGTACATGCATGTGCAACTGCATGTTTGCATGTGTGTGCACTCGTGCACGCACATGCAAATGTATGCTTGCATATATATGTGTGTGGGTGTGTGTGTGTATGCACATGCATGTATGTGTTTGCAGCGAGGGTTACTATTATGCCCTCCCACCCCCAGGCCCAGGGGCACTATTAGGGTGCAGGGTCCCTATCAGGACAGTGTGGGGGTGGGTGGGGGGCGTGTTCTGGGGCCCAGACGCCTGGGTCCCAGCCTGGTGTGGGGGCCCCGGGGCGCACCGAGGATGGCGAGCACGGTGCCGTCCTGCAGCACCTCCATGGAGCCAGCGCCCACGTAGTAAAGGGCCTGCAGGGCCTCGCCGCGGCGCAGCAGGAACTCTCCGGGGGCGCAGAAGCAGGGGCGCAGCGCCAGCGCCAGTGCCCGCAGGCAGCCCCGGCTTGCAGTGCTGAAGGCCGGCAGCTGCAGCAGGTCGCGGTGCAGGTGCAGCGCAATGTCGGCACGCAGCTCCTCAGGCAGGCTCTGCAGCAACTAAGGGCCGCGAGCGGGGGGTTAACCCTGCCGGGCACCCTCTGCCCCTCCCCTGGGGCCCAGCACCCCTGCTCCAGGCTGGGGACCCCCACCCCCACCTCCCCTGTCCTGGTCCGGGGACCACCCCTTCTTGCCCAGCCTGGGGACCCCCCACACTGTACTACATTCCCCCCAGACCTTGGCTCCCCCTGCCCAGGTCTGGAACCCCCCCCCACCCGTGTGCTACACCCCCAGGGGTGAGGGAGAGAGGCTGGGGCAGGTGCCCTGCACATGCGTGCAGTCACACACATGTACTCTCTTACACACACACACACACATGCACCAGCCCATGAGTGCGTGCATGTGTGCACGTGTGCACACACATGGTGCACTCCCAAGTACACACACACACACACACTCATGTTGAGACACCCACATGCCTGCACACAATAACACTCATGCTTGACAGGCACTCGCATGCACCAGCCCGTGCCCTTGCATGTATCTGTGCACAGCCCCTGCACAGGCACATGCACACAAGCACACACACACACACACACACACACAGGTGCACCCCCAAGGACACACACACATGTAGGCACTCACAATCACATGTGCACACAAGGACACACGTGCTCCACAGGCCCTTGCACACACATGCGCCGCACCTCACGGGTGTCGATGCCGTTGCTGGCGGCCCAGGTGGTCTGGAAGAACTCGAGCATGCGCTGCCCCAGCGCCGGGGGCAGGCGGTGGATGCGGCTGTAGTCGCGCAGGTCGCGCATGCGGCTGTGGTACAGGAAGCGCCGTGCGTACATGCGCTGGATGATGGCCGTCACGTTGCCGAACACTACGGCGTGCATCAGCGCTGCGGGACCACCACCACTGTCAGCTGTGCTGGACACCTGGGACCCCCTTTCTGCCCGTGGCTTCCACCCAGGTGCGGCCAGGAGCCTGGATGCCTGGGTTTGCCCCCGCCCCCTTCTACCAACAGAGCGGGGGCTGCCAGGTGGGGCTGGGAGCCTGGACACCTGGGTCCCAATCCCTGGTGCTGGGAGGGGAGTGGGGTCAGTTCTCCCCTCACCCCCTTCCACCAACAGAGCGGAGGCTGGAGATTTAGGATGTTGCGGGGTTGGGAGCCTGGCCACCTGGGGCTGGATCGGGAGGGGTGCATTGTCTGGGAGCCCAGACGCTTGGGTCCTACCGCCAAGCCTTGCCCTGCTTGTTGCCCACCCGGCCCCCCTCACCCCCAATGAGCATGGTGCAGATGGAGAATATCTTCTCGGTGTCGGTGTTGGCCGAGACGTTGCCGAAGCCGACACTGGTCAGGCTGCTGAGCGCGAAGTAGAGCGAGGTGATGTAGGCGCTGCGCGGCGATGGCCCTCCCAGCAGTTCCCAACCACTGCTGTTGCCCTCACAGTCGGGGCTGGGGGAGGCCCAGGGCCCCGGGCCCGTGGGGGAAGCGCTGCAGTTCCTCCGCACCAGGTAATAAGGGGTCTCCAGGCGCCGTGCCAGCTCCTGCAGCCAACCTGCGGGGTCGGGGGCAAGGGTCAGGGCAACCACAGGGCAGGGACCCCCAGCTGCACCCCTGGACTGGCGTACCGATCTCGGGCAGCTCCGAGGGGCTGCTCTCGATCTCCAGCTGCCCCAGGAAGAACCAGACGCAGGCCACCCAGTGTGCCAGCAGCGCGAAGACGGTCATGAGCAGCATGAGCACCACGGCGCTGTATTGTGAGTACCGGTCCAGGTTTGGCAGCAGCCGCAGCAGCCGCAGAGCAGCCGCAGCAGCCGCAGCAGCCGTACCGTCTTCAGCAGGTGGGCACCAAAGTACTGCAGGGTGAAGGGCAGAGGGGAGTCTGGCCGGCCCTGCCCCGGCATCTACCCCCACCCCAGAGCTGGTCCCGAGGCCTCCCCAGGGCCTGGGGCTGGATGCCTGGGGTCCCCCCTCCCTGCTGGCTTGGCCTGGCTCCTGGGGCTGGGACGCACCACGTTGACCTTGAAGGCGTAGAGCAGGTCGAAGGGCAGCGCGGCCACCAGGTCGAGCAGGAACCAGCTGGTGAGGTAGTGCAGGAAGATGGACCGCGGGTCAAACACCACCTGCCCCGACTTGCTGACGAAAGTGGTGCGGAAGTTCAGCACGATGTCTGCGGGGAGCGAGGGGTTAAAGCCCTGGGGTGGCAGGGGGCGAAGGGCATGGGCTTGGTCAAGCATGGCGGAGCCGGGGTCTCACCCAGGATGAAGAGGATCTCCACACAGAGGTCGCAGACGCTGGGGGGGGCACGGGCGGGCGGCGCGGAGCCGGGGCGGCCCCGGGGCCAACACACACGCTGTAGGGCACGGTCACGGCCACGTAGAAGGTGGCCAGCAGGATGACCCCATCCCAGCCCGCCTTGAAGGAGCCGTAGTGCAGCAGGATGAAGGGCGCCGTGCGAATCGCGGCCACCTTGTACTCGGGCAGCGCCGGCTTGGCCCCGAACACGCCCTGGAGTCAGGGGTCGGAGGTCAGTGCCGGGCCGCACAGACCCCCCCAATCCCCCAAGCTCCACGCACCTTGCTGAGCTTGTGCTTGCTCTTGCTCTGCTTCTGCAGGTGCCCCGAGAGGTGGTAGAGCACGGCGCGGCTCCGGCGCCGGTTGGCATTGAAGCCCTTGGCCCCGGCCCGGCTGTAGTGGCGCCGCCCGCCTGTGTGGAGACACGTGCCCATCACAGGGTGCCTGGGCCCCGCCGGCATCACGTGCCACCTCAGCCCCTGCAGTGCGACCCCGCTTACCTCCTTCTTTCCGGGCCTCGGCGCCGGGCCGGCTCTTGGCCTCGGTGATATCCTTGTGCGAGACCAGGAAGAGTGCCACCTCGCCCTTCTCGTTCTTGATGGGCACCACGTCCAGCAGGCACCAGAAGGGCACACCTGGGTGTGGGGGGGAGATGCTCTGGGTGCCCCCCCCCACCACCAGGGTAAGGGGGTAGGACCCAGGTGTCATGGATTCCAGCCCCACCTGCTGTTTCAACCATTAGGCCTGTCTGCACTGTGGCCTACAGGCAAAGCCCAGGTGTCCTGGCCCCTGCAGGCCCACACCACTGGAGCCCGGGACTCTCCCAGCACTGGGAAGGAACCCAGGCGGGTCCCCCATGCAGCCCCCTTCGCCCCACGCAGAGACAGGACCCTCGTGTCCAGGACTGGCGCAGGCAGCACTCACCGCCCTTGCGGTACAGCACGAGCTCGGCCTTGAGCTCGCGGCACTCATCCAGCGCGTGGCGGATCTGCCCCCGCACGAGCTCACCCGTGTCGGGCCCGTAGAGGAAGGGGCAGGAGCAGCAGCGCTGCATCACCTCTGCGCGCGAGAAGCCCGTCAGGTCGCAGAAGCCATCGGAGCAGTAGACCACGGGCGAGGCGCCGCGCACCTGCGCGTTGCCCAGCACGAAGTTGCTGTCTGCAAGACACGTGGGCGTGGGCAGGGGGCTGCGTGGCCCCGGTGTGGCATGGGGACCCCCTGCCCCCCAACCTGGCTGCATTACAGTGTGCGCTGCATACATTTGCCATGCTTTTTCTATGCACTTTACATGCATATACATGTACTTGCATGCACTTTGCATGTATTTGGCATGTATGCTGCATTAGCTGAATGCATTTGGCATGCACTTGGTGTCTATCTGGCTCTTTTTGCCTGCATTTGCGAGCACGTGCATGCATTTTGCAGGCCCCTTGCATGCAGATGCATGCCGTTTTGCGTGTGGGTGCCAGCATGTTTTAGCACACGTGCATGTATTTTGCATGACTTGCATGCACTTTGCATGTATTTGGCATGTATGCTGCATTAGCTGAATGCATTTGGCATGCACTTGGTGTCTATCTGGCTCTTTTTGCCTGCATTTGCGAGCACGTGCATGCATTTTGCAGGCCCCTTGCATGCAGATGCATGCCGTTTTGCGTGTGGGTGCCAGCATGTTTTAGCACACGTGCATGTATTTTGCATGTCCTTCGCATGCATTTGTATACGGGCCGCTCCGGGTGCGGTGGGGGCAGAGGCCCGACGCCCCCCGCCCGCAGGCCGGGCGCTGTCCGC